AAATTCCCAGGCTCAGGTGATCCTCCCACCTCAGCCTCCAGAGTAACTGAACCTATAGGCTCACACCTCTGCAAGGGAAAGGAACAGGGCTTCTGTGTCAGTTACCAGTCAATTGCCTCCCAGCTTCTAAGTCCACAGGTTCAGTGCCGGCCCTGCAATGACGGAGCTGTCCTGGCTCCTTTGCAGCGAGCGCAGTGCTAAGCTCTGCCACTAGAGGGGGCGGGAGGGATATCCCAGGAGGAAGAGGCGCCACTGCGCCGCCATCTTGTCTGTCTTCTTGCTCCTGTTATGGCCTTGTCAGTCCTACAGGAATGGAGCCGCCTGGCATGTTCATGGCCCTAGCTCCTGCCTGTGACTGCCTCACCACAGGCCTCTCCATACTCCAGCCACTAGCCTTGGCCCCTGGACCCCAGAGGGCTGCCTCCTATTTCCCTGGTGACCATGGTCCCACCCTTGCCCAACTAGAGGCCTCACCCAGACTCCCCCATTGAGGTTCATACCTCCACTGTTGACTTGCTCTTTCCTTGGGATTATTAAAAGTTTGACCATGTTTGATCACCCCACAGCTGGATAAGCTGATAAGAAAACCTGGGTACTCCCTCTTCTAGTGCCAGTGGGGAGTTCAAACCCTGTGCAGTACCCCTGGCTGTGGCCCATACCCTAAGCACCATAAAACCCCAACCCCAAACCAACCTGCTTTCTCTGCCCTCTCAAGTCACGTTCAGACCAGCTTGGGAAAGCCCACTCTGCTCTCTTCAGATATCCTGTTATGTAATAAGCTTCATACCCTCTTGGAGTGTGTGTTTGTGTGTCATCAGTGTGAACATTCAAACCCAATTTTGGGTGGCTGTAATCCTTTTTCTCCAGGGTGGCCCCAACCTTTGCGTTGTTACAGCTTCTCACTTGCTTAAGCCAGGTTTGGGTAGGTGCACCTGAATCCATCAGTTCTCCTTTTTCTCTCCCAGAAAACCATAAGAGAATCTTGATTGCTCCCATATCCTGTCTTACCCAGCACCCTCCAATCCATTATTACTTGACAGGCATGTTGAGCTTTAAGTTAGGTAAACCCAATTAGGCTGCTACATTCTTTAAAATTTGTCAATGGATTCCCATTCCTCTGAGAAGGCTTGCTCCCTAGGTATCCTTCAGAGTTCTTTTTTCTTTATAGTTACGCCCATGTTTTGGTTAATAAATCTTTATTTCAGAGGTCAGAAAGCTTTTTTCCATAAAGGAGCAGAGAATATATATTTTAGGTTTTGCAGACTATTTGGTCTATGTTGGATATTCTTCTCTGGTTTGCTCATATTACAACCCTTTAAAAACATAAAAAACAATTCTTGTCCAGGTGTGCTGGTTCACATCTGTAATTCCAGCACTTTGGAAGGCCAAGTCAGGAAGATCACTTGAGCTCAGGACTTTGAGACTAGCCTGGGCAACATAATGAGACCCTGACTCTACAAAAAAATTTAAAAATTAGCCAGGCTGAGCGGGCAGGATCACTTGGACTGGCTTATTTCACTTAACACAATCACCTGCTGGAAGCTGGGACCCAGGAGGTCAAGGCTTCATAAGCTGTGATCATGCCACTGCACTCCATCCTGAGTGACAGAATGAGAACCTATCAAAAAAAAAAAAAAAAAAAAACTACTTTCTAGCTTGTGGGCTGTTGAAAAACTAGGTAGCAGGCCATTGTGTGCCAGCCCCTGCTTTATATTAAATGCTGCTTGTGCAAATTGCTGTGGGTTTTTTTCTCTTGATTGGACCCTGACTGATACAATTTCTCAATGCAGATTCTCTTTCGAAACTCCCCATTTTTCCCCAGAGAAAGAATGCGTTAGAAAATGGATAAAGCCCAAAAGTCCAAAACTAGTACATCTTCAACTACACAGAAAAGCACGAACAGTGGGCCTTAGACATCCCCCATTCAACAAAATTAAACATCATGGAGAAAGGCGCCCCCAATCAGTCACTGAACACAGAAGGGTCTTGCTGGAGTACAGAGGGTAACAGAGACTGACAGTCTGACAGTCACAAGGGTCATCAGTGGTTTGTTGTTTTTTGTTGTTTTTGTTTTGTTTTGTTTGTTTATTTGTTTTTGACACGGAGTCTCTCTCCGTCGCCCAGGCTGGAGTGCAGTGGCACGATCTTGGCTCACTGCAATCTCTGCCTCCTGGGTTCAGGCGATTCTCCTGCCCCAGCCTCCCAAGTAGCTAAGACTACAGGCACATTCCACCATGCCTGGCTAATTTTTTGTATTTTTAGTAGAGACAGGATTTCACTGTGTTAGCCAGGATGGTCTTGATCTCCTGCCCTTGTGATCCGCCTGCCTCGGCCTCTGAAAGTGCTGGGATCAGTGGTCATTTAGTTGAGTAGCTTAGGCTACATAAAGCACGTGGTCTTTTCACTAAAAAGAATAGAATCCATAGAAAATAAAATGTAAATAGTGTAACAGCAGGATTAGATTTGCTCACTTTCATACTCAATATGGCTACCATGTGATAATGGGTGGAAGGCCATTGGGTAGGAGTGGATGTGGGAGAAATAAAACACTTAGTATAGTATTCTGGGTAAGAAACCAGAAGGATTGAATATTTCAGATGCGCTTATCAGACACTGGCCTCAAGGTGCTGACTTGAGCAGTAAGAGATGGTAAGATTTCGCTCAGTGGATGCAAAGCTGGAACGCAGAGGAGCCTCCCTCCCCATCACTTAAATGAGAGTCCATTGATGAGCAGCCTGTGCCTCACCTGGAGCCTGTCACTGTGAATCAGACTCTGCATTTTAACAAGATCTGAGAGTGAATTATATGCACATTAAAAATGTGAGGGCCACGAGGTTACAGCAAATGAAGCAGGATGCTAGAAATTTCTTTTTTACGGTACACCACTGATTTTCAACCTTTGTTGCACATTAGAACCACCTGGAAAAAATTTTTAAACCTGATTTTCAAGCATCAACTCAACCTGGTATCTCCTGAGGGTGGGAATCAGGCATCAATGTGTTTCACAACTGTCTGGGGTTGGAGAAAGGGAGTCTCTCTCCAGCAGGTCTTTGCTATCTTATCCTTAGGAGCAGCCAGCCTTAAATCCTCTCCCTCAGGGTGTGCTGTCTATTCTGCACTTAACTTTCAAAATACTCTTATTCCTTTGTAATCAGTTACTCTATGCTACATCTCTTTTGCTGTGTGTCTATTGTTTACGTTCCTTTAAATTAAGAAGACAAGAACCGAGGTCTCACAACAGTGAACTTTAATAAATGAATCCAGCCTGTTCAGGAAGTGACCTTTCGGGAGCTCTGAGGATCGCTGGTGTCCGCCTGTGAGCTCAACCAGCCATTCATAAAATGCCCTCCCGAGACCAGCAGCATCAGCATCACTGAAAATGCAGATTCACGGGTTATTTAAAACAAGTAAAATCTGAGAAATTGTCACCAAGAGGAGCCTAGGGAGACGTGACAACTCAAGGCAAGGTGGCGCCTTGGATGGAAAAGAAGGAAGAGGAGGGCATTGTGTGAACACGAAGGAGGTCTCAATAAAATATGCACCTTAGTTCACAGCAATATATAGAGTCAGCTCATTGCTTGTGGCAAATGTGCCGTACTAGTGAACCATGTTAACAGTGGGGGAAATGGTGTGGAACATTGGCGAACTCTGTGGACTTTTGAAAGGTATTCTAAAATGAAATCTAAGGCCAGGTGTGGTGGCTCATGTCAGTAATCCCAGCACATTAGCAGACTGAGCCAAGAAGATCACCCAAGATCAGGAGTTCGAGACCAGCCTGGCCAGCATGGTGAAACCCTGTCTGTACTTAAAATACAAAAATTAGCCAGGCGTGGCGGTGGCACACCTGTAATTCCAGCTACTCAGGAGGCTGAGGCAAGTAAATTGCTTCAACCCGGGAGGTGGAGGTTGCGGTGAGCCGAGATTGCGCCACTGCACTCCATCCAGCCTGGGTGACAGAGGGAGACGTGGTCTAAAATAAAACGGAGTCTGTTTTTTAATGCACACTCTAAGGCCACACCCTTGATCTACTAAATTGGAAGCTCTGAGATCAGGGCCCACACTTTTGTAGATTAACAAAGCCTTCAGGATATGGTACTGTCATTAAGACCAACTAAGTCACTAAGACCAGAGACTCCGAATGCCTCAGTAGTTCAAGAGTCAAATCGGGAATTTAGACATTGCCAAATTTAGGCCACAAAATACACCATCTGGGGCAGGGAGATACACAGGCAGAACAGAGAGGATTCGGGGGACAGTGAAAATACCCCCCACGATACTCCAGTGGTGGATCCTCATGAGGCCTTTGTCCAAACCCACAGGATGTACGACATACAGAGCGAGCCCTAACGGACACCATGGACTCTGGGTGCTGGTGATGTGTCCGGGCAGGCTCACTGATGGAACAGGTGCACCGCTCTGCTGGGGCTGCTGGGCGGGGAGAGGCTGTGCCGTGTGGGGAGGGAGTCTAGGGGAACTCTGTGCTGTCCACTGAATTTCCCTGTGAACCTAAAACAGCTCTGAAAAAGAAAGTCTAGAGCCAGGCGTGGTGTCTCACACATATAATCCCAGCACTTCTAGAGGCCAATATGGAAGGATCACTCGAGACCAGGACTTCAAGACCAGCCTTGGCAACAAAACCAGATCCCATCAACTACAAAAACTTATTTCAAAAAATTTGAATAAAATAATACTCATAAAGCCTAATACAAACAATACAGGATGCAGTGGCTCACTCTTGTAATAACTCTTTGGGAGGCCGAGGCAGGCAGATCATTTGAACTCAGGAGTTCAAGACCAGGCTGGGCAACATGGCAAAACCCCCTCTTCAAAAAATACAAAAATTAGCTGACATGGTGTGATGTGTTCTTCTAGTCCCAGCTACTCCAGTGGCCAAGACGACAGAATTGCTTGAGCCTGGGACGTCAAGTCTGCAGCGAGCTGTGATTACGCCACTGCACTCCAGTCTGGGTGAAAGAGTGAGACCCCATCTCAAAAAAAAAAAAAAAAAGAAAAGAAAAGAAACCAATACAGGATGCCCAATAGAAGCTGACTTTCAGATAAATAATGAATAATCTAGAACAAGCTGATACTTAAAAAAATTGTTTATTTGAAACACAAATTTCTCCAGGCATTGTGTATTTAATCTGGACACCCTACTTTGACAATTTTACTTTACAGCAAAACAGTGGGTAATAGCATGTCAATCAGAAGGCTCAGTTTTTTGTTATAAAATACTGAAAAACTAATTAAACTAATTAGATGTTTATTGAAAGAACAGCAACACAAACCCAATAGGCATAATGAAACAAAACAAAACTCAGTGCGGAGAATGAATATTTCCTCGGACATCCTGGCGATTCCTACCTAGGGCACTCCCTCTGTGTGCTGGGTGGCCATGCACCTGTGTTATCTAATAACATCAATGAAAAATCATCCTTCTCATTCTCTGGGTGCAGTGGTTTCTAGATGTGTTTTCTGGTGGTATTTTAACGTTTCAGGCCGACGAAAGGCTCTCGAACACTTGGAACACTGATAGGGTTTCTCTCCGGAGTGGATGAGCTTGTGCTCATTCAGGTTCTTCCTGTAGGTGAAAATTTTCTTGCAGTCTTTACATTTGTAGGGCTTCTCTCCTGTGTGGCTCCTCTTGTGACATTTCAAGGAGAACCTCCTGTTGAACCGCTTGTGGCAGACGTCGCATGTGTAGGGCTTCTCACCAGTGTGGATTCGCTGGTGAACGCGGAGGTCTGAGAGCTGCATGAAGCACCTTTCACAGACGTTACATTGAAAGGGTCTCTCTCCGGTGTGTGATCTCTTGTGGATGACTAGCTTGGAATTACACATAAACCTCTTATTGCACACGCCACAAGCAAAGAGCAGCAGTTCCTTGGCTTCTTGGCCAACAGGCTGACTGCCTGCGCCCACAGGGCCTGGGGAATGAACTGGATTGATCCCAGCTTGTCCCAGGGATTCTCTGTTGCCCACAGGTGTGGCTCCTCCTTGAGGCCCTTCTTGGGAAATGGAGGTGGCGTCTGGTTTGCTTCTTTTGGGGCCTCTGAGATTCGGAGCCTCTCCTCTGTTCCTGCTGTGAGTCGAAGCTTCTCTCTCCACAACGCAGGCAGAAGGTGTGTCGGCATCCACATTTTCCACAGAGGCTCTTTTTTGGGGGTCCTGCCCCTCCTTAGCTCCCACCACACCTGCTGGAAGAAGGGATTCCACACACAACAGTTAATAACGCACATATTCAATACACCAAACTCGTTGCAGCCAAACACTGACCTTGTCTGAGAACTTCCCCTCAACCTCAAGACTAAGACGTTGGACCGTAGGTCTCTGGAGAGTGGGGGGTGGAGAGGCTTTGGCAGCTGAGTGCCCACTCCCCAGACATGATAATGCTGGGCCCCCAGACCCATACCCAGGAAGAGAGAAGCTAATATTTCCGGGTCCAAGTCTTCATACTCACTGGGACCGTTTGGAAGCTGAGGCTCTGGGGATGTAAGTCCTGGGTTCTCCTTTCTGTCTACGTTCAGACCCTTCTCCAAGGTCGGCTTGGGTCTCAGAGTCTTTGGACCTCCTTTCATGACAATAGTCTTTGGCAGTCGGAAGTCCTCCTCCTGACAACGGAAAACCAAGAGCAATGACTCCGTGTCTAAACCGGGGGAAGCACGGACATGTCTGTCCCCTCCTGACTGTATGCACCAACTCTTCTAATGACACAGTGTGGAAATATGTACAGACTTCCTGTGGACCACCCCCTCACCCCCAGTAAACATCACCACCTCACGTCTGAGTCTGTCCCTAATCTGCACCCTCCATATTCTAAATCAGCTCCTGTGCCTGGTGGTTTTCACTCTTTGGTTCTCTGAGCATATTTCTTCCCTCTGTGCCAACCTCTCCCTGCCCCTGAGGCTGGAAGGAGCATGACTCTAGGTGGAGGCCCCTCAGCCCTGGCACCATTGGCATTGGGGCTGCATCACCCTCCTGGAGGGGGCGCTGCTGTGCAGAGCGGAGACCCTGCCTCCACCCTCTAGATGCTACTAACACCCCACCACCCCCGAGAATGCCAAACAAGAACGTCTCCAGACATGGCCATGTGTCTGGAAAGGCAAAATCACCGCAGTTGAGAAACCCTCCTCAAATTAAGAAATCGACAGTCTGAGACAGTGGGTTCCTTGCTGAATGACTTCATGAAATGTCTTTGTGGAAACTAGGTGGGGAAGGGATCTTCAGTTCATTCATCTGTGCCAACTGCCTCCCTCACTTCACTGAGACCATTTCTTACCCCTCACCCTCAATGCTAAAAGCTCTCATGGTGGAGAGAAAAGTAGATGTAGCTTCCCTCTCTGTGATGGCTCAGGAATGTCTAAGGATGTAACACATACATGGGGAATGTCTCTATTCTTGTCCTGTGCCAAATCTGTCAATCAGTCCAGTGGACACATGATTTCCTCCTATTCCTTCTCCCACCTCTGCCCAGACACCAAGGCCTCACACACTCACCTGCCTCCTGGACCGTGCAGGGACCCTGGGCAGGGTCTGCAGCTCTTGGCGGGCCTGGCCTTCCCCCAGACGCATCTGGTTCACAGAGGAGGCCCGCTGGCTGGACATGCCTCTAGGATCATCCCTGACACTGGTGGGGGCTTCAGCCATCTCAACATCTGAGTCCTGCATAAGATATTCCTTTCCCTGGAAGGTGACTACAGACTGTAGAGGGAAAAAAGACAATCAGACTCACTATGAGAACCTGAAAGTAGCTCTTATATTCCCTGGGTCCTGCCATAATGCTCACATTGACTGTAATTAATGTTCAAATCTGCCTTCCTGATGCAGAATCAGCTCTATGGACACAGCAATCCTGTCTGAATGTTTTTCTTCTCTAGATAAGTACATAAATATGAGTCGTTTGGATGAAAGGGTCTCTAAACCAAAGAGAAGGCAAGGAGAAATATCCTGGATGAATCCCACTCAATTGGCCGATGGCAGCTCACCTTGTGTTGGAACTTAGGGGTTCATTTGGGGACCTGGAAACAGATCCCTGGATCTCTGATACCAACCACTTTCCCTGCCTCAGGATGGGACTTCTGGGCCCCCTTGAGTTCACTCTAATGCCTCCTTCCCTACGTTCCAATGTCTTTCTTTCATGTTGGCCTCACACAGTGTGTAGATCCCTGTATCCCCTCCGCCTGTCCATCGCCTACACCAGGAATTGGCCATCTCAGCACAGCTGATATTTGAATCTGGATGATTATTTGTCATGGTCGGTTGTCCTGAGCTTTGGAGAATGCTTAGCAGCATTTCCTGTCCTCCCCCTTGTGACAACCAAAAACTGTCCCCAGACACTGCCATGTGCCCCTGACGGGCAAACTCTCCTCTACTTGGAAGCCCTGACCTAGAGCAGCCCCTCGGGTCCTCTCCAGTCCAGATGCACCGTGCAGCCCCCATCCCAGCTCCCCTTCCCTGAGCCAATCAGGAGGGTCCCACTCACCCATTTCTTGGGTCTTCTGTGGTTTCGTAGCAGGTCCTCCAGGTCTTTGCAGCTCTGCACGTCGTTCACCTTGACTAAGACCTGGAGCTCCTGGGGCATGGAGATCATGAACTGCTCCATCACCAGCATGTCCAGGATCTGCTCTTTGGTGTGGAGGTCGGGCCTCAGCCACAGATGGCACAGCTCAGTGAGTTTCCTCAGAGCCTGGATGGGGTCCGAATCCTCCGAGCAGCTGAACAACCTGAAGTTCACGTGAGAAATCTCAGGGTCCACGTTGTGATTTCCAAGTTGAGTTTCTGAGGATGCCATAGACTGTGGCAGCTCCAACCCAGGTCTGTTGCAGGGTTCTCTCTGACGCCATGAGGATGTGCAATTTGCAGCCATATCTAATGGAGAATATTCCAATCAGTCTCTGAGAAAGCTCTTCTAGTAGCTGGTGTCTAACTGAGACCTATCTACCCAGGCCTCCTTTGGTTTTCCTCAGTAATAGATTTCACTGTTCAGAAGTCTGCAAAAAAAAAAAAATCATGAGCCCGATCAGTTTAAGCTTCTAGTCTATCCACCCATCCCTTCCAAAACCCTCATCCAAATCCTGGACGCCACTTCTTCAGCAGCATCGAATTCAGCACAGTGGAAATCAACCCACCCTGTTATTCTTCCAGTGTCTACACCTGACTATATGTTCTGATTTAAAATCTTAATGCTCCCCTGGATCCTGATCTCCAGGAAATCATTGTGCAGAAGTGGAATCAGTTTTTTTTTTTTTTCAGTTGGAACAACATGGTTCCCAACTGTAAATTAAATAGGATAGTTATGTAAACCTGCTAAAATCTGACACAACAATAACTTAAGTTCTTCACGTTTGCCTGTCCAGACAAGATCCAAGGTAAAGCCCTTCATCATAATTATGCACAAAGATAGAGAAAAATAGTTACAACCTACAGTTTTCCCCCAACACCTTTTCTTGTTAACCCCAGGACATTTGTTTGCTCCAGGGAAGGGAGAACTTTAAGTAATCATAAGAGAATTCAAGTCCTACACAGATATTGTTATTTTGGTAAAATGCACATTCATAAATTTCATCTTTTTTACCCTCTTCAAGTGCACAATTTGTTGGCACTAAGACATGCACCATGCTGTGCAACCATCACCACTGTTTAGTTCCAGAATTATCAGGCCAAAAGGAACCCCATCCCCATCAGTGATCACCCCCTGCCCACCCACCCCAGCACCTGGCAATCACTAATCTACCTTCTGTCTCTAAGGGTTTCTCTATTCCTAATCTCATCTCAGAAAATGGATTTAAAGTCTAGTGCTCTATAAAATGTTCACGAAGTGAAGTAATACAATAGAAAGATTTTTTGAGGCCGGGCGTGGTGGCTCATGCCTGTAGTCCCAGCACTTTGGGAGGCTGAGACGGGAGGATCACTTGAGGTCAGGAGTTCGAGACCAGCCTAACCAACATGGTGAAACCCCATCTCTACTAAAAAATATAAAAATAGGCCGGGTGTGGTAGCATGCGCCTGTAATCCCAGCTACTTGGGAGGCTGAGGCAAGAGAAACACTTGAATCCGAGAGGTGGAAATTGTAGTGAGCCAACATCACGCCATTGCACTCCAGCCTGGGCAACAAGAGCAAGACTCCGTCTCAAAAAAAAAAAAAGAGAGAGAGAGAAAGAACGATTTTTTGAAATTTGGTTCTAAATGTAATTTCATTAGGCAGGAATCACTGTGTGATAACTCTCCAGGCATCAATTATCCAAGTTCAACAGCTATGAGAACGCAGCCCTGCCTTCCTAGCAACAGGTGGGGAAAGCAACCTGAAGGTCTTCAGAAAGAAGAAAGAATTGACAGGAGGGTCTCAGGAAAGGTCACTGGAATCCCGAAGGATGGGAACCCTATGCTTCCTGGAAGGAATCTGAACAAGTGCAGAACAGAGAGACAGCCAGGGAGACAATCGGCAGAGGGGGAAGATAACCCAGGAGACAATATTCGCAAATCACACATCTGACAAGCAGTTCCTATGCAAAACATTAGCAACTCAAACGACTCCATAGCAAGAAAACACATAACCCACTAGAAGGAGGGCAAGGCGCCTGTGTGGACATCTCAGATGAAGACATGTGAATGGCCAGCAGGTCTAGGAAAAGGTGCTCATCGTCACTCATCATCAGGGACACGCAAATCCAAACCACAAGGCACCCTTCACGCCTGCTAGAGTGACTGTTCCCAAAAAGACACATGGATCTAGTGTTGGTGAGGATTCAGAGGAAAGGGATCCTCTGCGCCCTGTGTTGGGACGTAAATTAGTGCAGCTGATATGGAAGACAGTATAGAAGCGCCTCAGAAAATTAAAAGTACGACAACTGCATGATCCGGCAATCCCGCTCCTGGGCATGTATGCAGAGGAAAGGGAATCAGGACGTGGACTCCAAAACAGTGAAACTCTGGAGGGACAGAGGGAGGGAAGATTGAAAAACTATCCATCGGGTACTCTCCTCACAATCCTGGGTGATGGGTTCAGTCATACCCCAAAACTCAGCATCACTCAATATACTCATGAAACAAAGTCTGCACAGGTACCCACCGAATCTAAAATACAAGTTAAAATCACTTTAAAATTAAAAAAGAAGTAGATGATATAAATAATAATTTTTAAAACCTAGTGGACTCACAGTAGCAGTTAGTAGAATGTAGTTACCAGGGCTGGGGTGGGGCTGGGGAGATACAGGTCAGAGTACACATTTCAGTAGAAGAAATGAATTCAAGAGAATCCAACATGGTGCCTTCAGTTCATAACAATGTATTGTATACTTGGAAATTGCTAAAAGAGTAGATTTCAATCAAGTACTCTCACCGCCAAAAATGATTAGTACTTAAAATAAGGCATATGGATATTAGCTCAATTTAGCCATTTTACAGCGTTTATATCCTACAAAGCACATTATGCTGTACACCACAACTACATACAATTTTTAGTTTTCAATTTGAAAGCAAATTAATTTTTTTTGAAAAAAGCATACAAATACGAGAGAGAAAAGAGCGCCTAAGATTCTGGATTTAAAAGTGGCTTTTGCCACAGGGCGCCTGCTGCTGCTCGGGAGGCTGAGGCAAGAGGATCACTTGAGCCCAGGAGTTTGATAACAGCCTGGGCAACGTAGTGAGAACCTGACTGTTGAAAAAGTGATTTCATGTTCCTAGAAATCGCCGTGTATTCACTCTCAGTTCTTCTCCCATTAAAGCAAGCAATGGAACACGGGAAAAAAATACAGGCAGGTATGCAGGTTAGTATTCAATTCTGGGAGTATATAGCACACAGGACACCCAGGTAGGGACACTTAGCTCAGATTCTCATTGGCCTAGTGGGTTGATGCCCATTCATTAATGGCTTGATTTTACCCTGTGGAAAGGGAAAAATCCAGTGACACTTTTTAACAAGTGGTGTGCGGCCGGGCAAGGTGGCTCACGCCTGTAATTCCAACCGTTTGGAGGACCCAGGTGGGATGATCGCTTGAGCCTAGGAGTTCAAGACCAGCCTGTGCAACATACCGAGACCCCAGCTCTACAAATAAATTTAAAATGTATCTGGGTCTGTTGGCAGGTAGGTGCCTGTCGTCCCAGCTAGTCGGGAAGTGAAGTCCCACCAATGGCTGGAGACCAGGAATTCCAGCCAGCCTGGGCTATGAGCAAGACCCTGTCTCTAAAATGTAACCTACCCACGAAGAGAAAGTTAATACTATTTACAGAAGGGTTGCATAACAAGCCAGAGCTAACGATGGGGTGCAAAGGAGACCCACTGCCTTCACGAGGTCTCCAAGCAAATGCATGAGAAAATAAACCCAAATCTTTCTGAAACCAACCCGCCTGCACGCCAGCTCCTAAACCCCGCAGACATCGCCCCGGGACACTTGCCTCCTTCCCGCCTTCTGCCTCCAACCTCCTTGCATCTGGGATGCCCTCTCCAACTGGCCTGGAGCTGAACTGCGTCTATTTATGGAGAAGCGGAGGGACTCCAGGCCCCGTTTCCTGTTCCCTGCGCCGCCCCATGATTGGTTTAGGGCCATGTAATCCATTTTAGGTGATCAGCGTTGATTACATTTCCCAATAAAACTCCACCCATAGGAAATTAATGTATTAAACATGCCTACTGTGCAAAAAACATAGGTTTTCCCGCTCTACTCAATTATTTGTCATATTGCTGAAGTATTTGGAGACCTCAGAAAATATAGATCCGCAAGGGTTTTTTTGTTTGGTTTTGTGTTTTTTTTTTTTTTTCTTTTGATTTTTTTTGAGACAGCGTCTCACACTGTCCCCCAGGCTGGAGTGCAGTGGCGTGATCTTGGCTCACTGCAACCTCCGCCTCCTGGGTTCAAGCGATTCTCCTGCCTCAGCCTCACGAGTAGCTGGGATTACGGGTACACAGCACCACGCCTGGCTAATTTTTGTGTTTTTAGTAGAGACGAAATTTCACCATGTTGGCCAGGCTGGACCTCGTGATCTGCCCGCCTCGGCCTCCCAAAGTGCTGAGATTACAGGCGTGAGCCACTGCGCCTGGCCCTAGGTCCGCAAGTTTTAATCACTTTGGGTCCCCTCGTGCCACCCAGACAGTAATATCCTAACAAGTAAAGTAAAGGACATGTTGAGAGTTGTTGGATTAATATCAAATCAGTGATGTAATCCAGTTTAAGGAAAGCCTTTCACATGTGAATGTCACGATATTGAAAAATACAGTCATTGCTGGTCTATAATAAATATTAGTGATGATTATTTACTTTTCTTTTTCAAACTCTTGGAATTCGCACGGGAAAGCTTTGCTTGAAGTAGTCTAAATCACTGGTTTGACATCGGCCAACCTGCCCTTAGGTAAAAACAGTGGGAACCAGAGAAAGGCACGTGGTCCCTACTTTGCATTCACTCCAGGACGGTGCGAGGGTGGTTTATAGATACACTGAGGGTCCTGTGGGGTTCCCTAGGTTTCAACCCCCTGACTGAGGCCTCTCCAACATGAAAAGCCTTAACGGTGGGTGTGAATTTTACTGCATGGATCATGGAGTCATTGTGGAATGACAAGTACTAGGCATGATTAGATTACAATTGGAGAGGTCGACAGCATCAGCTGACTGACTCACAAATCCATTCAAATTGTGGCTCATTCATTTTTAATTCAGAGTAAGCTTTCTCATCTAACATTGAAGACACATTGGAGGGCTATTAATGTTACACTGATTCTGGTTTAAATCATTGGGAAATCTTAGGCAAGCCACTGAATTTCGGGAACTTCAAACTCCCTGTGAATAGAACCAGGGAATTATCACCTTCCTGATGTGCTGTTTTGAAGATAAAAGACTGTGTCAGTAAAGTGCCCGACACAAGGTCATTTTGCCAAAAAGTTCAGACACTTGTTTCCTGATACATTTTCTCATAGTTTGTGATATTTTTCCTTGTTAATAACTGAAGTGTTGATGGTGAGTCAGAGTTCAGAATGGAATTATTAAGGGGAATGAACTGGAATCTGCCTAAAACCACCATCTACCTACCCAATTCCCTCAAATCTTCTCCTCTTGGAACATGTAATCTGTTCCCATGAAGAATGTGTTTGGCATTTTGGTGGGGATTGTGATGGGTCTGTAGATCTCTGTTAATAGTGTGGTCATTTTCACAATATGAATTCTTCCGATTAATGAACATGGAATATCTTTCCATTTTTGTGCCCTCTTCATTTCCTCTCATCAGTATTTTATAGTTTTTCTGGTAGTGATCTCCTACCCCTGTGGGTAAATTTGTTTGTTTATTTGTTTATTTTTAGAGCCAAGGTCTCACTGTGTCACCTTGGCTGGGTGCAATGGAAAACTCATAGCTCACTGCAGCCTCAAACTCCTGGGCTCAAGGGAGCCTCCTGCTCCAGCCTCCTGAGTATCTGGAATTACAGGCAAGCACCTCCACACTTGGTTAATTAACAAACGTTTTTTGTAAAGATGGGGGTATCGCTATGTTGCCCCGGCTGCTCTCCAATTCCTGGCCTCTATCCGTCCTAAGGTCACCATGCTGGTGTTTACATATCCCTATACATGGTGTAAGTATCACTACAATCAAGCTAATTAATGTATTCATCAATTCACATAGTGACTATTTTCTTTTCATTATTTATCTGTTTAATTCGTGGGCTCAAGCAAT